CATTTGATTTTGCTGTGTAATAAGCTAACTTTACAGGATCATTCTTATAAAGTTTCATAAATCTTTTTGCCTCAGCATGGCTGTTTAACAATTTTTTACACATCAAAGGCATCAACCCTATTTTTTTCTTCTGATCATAATGTTTCTTGAATTTTGTGAAAATTTGGTCAGTATGATATATTATATTAGAAGGTTCTTCAGATGTTGGTGATAATTTAGTCTCAAGAGAAATATTCATCGTTATTATTGCGTTTGAATACTCAGAAGTGAAATCTAAATTTGGTACCAGATGATCATTTGGATTTTCTTTTGGAACAAGCACCAGTTCTCCTGAATATGGAACCCTACTTCAACAACCCCTTTCTGATTTGATGATATTAAAATGTAACGTTTTGCTGCTTCACGCCCATATAAATTACGTACAAAAGTGCTTACTGCATTAGTGAATACATTTGACATAGTCACACTTGAGATTTTTGCTATCTCTATGTAATCTTGAACAATATTTCTTTTCAATATCAGTTCTTGACATCTGATCAAATCAACGGAACAGTAGTATGCTATATCAACTGCATAATGTTCAAGCTGTTTCTTGTTAACAATGAAATAAGCCATACATTCTTCATAGTTGATTTTATCGTATAAATTGCAAGGTAAAATCTTTTAATTTTTCATGATCATTTTTGTATAGTATAGCATTAAGAAATATAAACATGGAATTGAGATTTGATGATTTTTTGGGAATATACAGAAGATCGATCTTGCCCTCCAACCCACACTTTATTAACACATAGTCAAGCATGTGTTTTAGGTCTGTAGGAAATGTCTTTTTCGCCCAAACTAACAAATCCAAAAAAATCGTTCCTGATATATAATAATATTCACAGATCATTTTTTCATTAGGATTAAACTTTATCATTCTATTATTCAGATTAAATCCCGCAAACTCATACTTTCTATTAGCATCCTCAAGATCTTGCGGAACAAACCTAATTTCTGTTTCTCGAATATTAACTATAATGTCCTCAGTTGTGCCCAAAAGAGCTTTGTTAAATTCTTTTCCTATATTATATTGTTTTACTTTCTTTAAAATAAAATTCCAATCATAACCCCCTATATTATAGCCTGTCTCAAAATCTGGTTTGAATCTATTAAATATTCTAGCAAATTCTAACAATAAATCAACTTCTGTAGAACAGTGAATGAAATGAAAATTTTCTCTCGGAATTGAACTATATTTAGAAAAAAATAATTCTTCATTGATTGGTAATGTTGTCAAACAATATTTTTTAATTGGATACAAAGAATCAATCCAATAAACATCCATCTGAATCATGTAAACAAAAGAAGTTTTCTCATGTACATAAGGAAAATAACCAGGCCCATGTGGATCTCCTGTTTCAATATCTCAAGATAAATTTAACAACTTTGGTAATTCTATTTTATTTTCAACTTTTTCTATTTCTGATAATGTTAGAAACATGTTATTGGATAGAAGTTTATCAGAAATTAATTGATACCACCCAACCAACTCAAAATCATTTTTATGTGCCACCTTTCGGTAATAACAGGTAAGATCATTAGAATATGTGTCATATAATTCTCACCAATTATCGATCTTTTGTATTTTTTCCAAAGCATTCTTACAGTCTTTAAGATTTGAAAAATATAAGCGAATAAAATTGAACTTTGAACCGGAATCAAAGGGTTGTACATCATTTAATATTTCATAATAATAAGGATTGATTTTGTTCAAATAGAATTCAAAATTCTTTTTTTCAAGCTTGATATCAAAAAATGGATCCCCAACTTTAAAATTGAGAGAAATCTTGGTTCTATCTTCTTTTACTGCATTGATAAGCAAAATGTATTTCTTATTTTTTGTAAATGAATCAGTTGCATTAAATATAAAGAAGAGTTTTGAGTCTGGATTACTGTTGATTAAATCCTGGCATGTTATGTTCATTTTTTAAAAATAATGCATGAATAAAATACTAGTTGGTACAAAATGTACCAACTATATGAAAAATATGAAAATATATATTAAAAAAATCGTTGCATAAAGTTAATTTTATGAGAAGATTAAATCAATTGCTTTTTCAAAATATTTAAACAATTTTTCCTTATTTTGATCAAAAAAATTAATTGCTTTTGTTAAATTTTCAAAGAGATTTCTATTGAAATAAGAAACTCCATTTTTTTTATCAAATTCACACATCTCATATCTATCAAAAAATTGTTTAGAAGTACAAAGATAGATAGTTGCTTTGTTTTCTTCATCTAAAGGAATTTTATATGTAAATGAATCAATTTGTAATGAATTTTTTGCACCTCTCCAAGGAAATGATGCTATAAAATAAAAATTATCGAAAGTTTCAAAAGAAAATTCAATTACAATCTTATCTTCGTTGTCAGAATAGAAAAAATTCATTGAATAAAAAAAATTCTAATCGGTTAATAAACTGATTAGATAAAAATAAAAAATAAAAAAATATAAAAAATAATTTATAAAAAAAAGACTTTAATTGCACCCATAACATTTTTTATATAAATTATGCACATGTCTTTTAAATTTAAAAGAGAATGACCTGTTAAAGAATAACTTGTTAAATTCTCAGATAAACAATTTTTAAATTTACAAGTATCTTCAAAATAATGATTAAATTTACGACAATATGTAAACACTTTACATCTCAAACAATAATATTTATTATAAAAATTATATAAATCAATTGAAATAAATTCTATTTTTTTGATTACTCGTTCTGTTAAATAATTATCTTCACTATTTTTAAAATTAAAAATATATTCATATTTTTCCTTTTCGAATTTACTTTTAGTATTAACAAATTCACCAGACTTAAAAAAATCAACAAAAATTTTTAATGTTTCATAATTGATTTTGAATCGATATTTAATAGGTGAATCAAAAGAACGTTTTTCAACAAAATAATATTTTTTTCCATAAACATTAAATATGAAATAATATAACCTATACCATTTTAGAGATACAAGTTTTAATTGATAAAAATTCTCATCAAATAAAGTAATAAAGAGAGATTTTGATGAAATATCATTACTAATAATTCATTAGAAAATGAATTGATATGTATTGTTAATTATATGCTAAAGAATCTTATTGGTTTATTAAACTAATTAGAAAAAATAGATAGAAAAAAATAATACAAAACTAATAAAAAAAATAAATAAATTAATTATTATTATCAAGAATAAAATTTAGAATATTTTTATATTCATCAATACTACAATCAGATGAAATAGCAATCTTGTTGGGATATATTTTGTCAATCTTTTTCTCATATAAATCATAAACTTTACAAAGATATTCTTCATCAACCATTTCATAATCTCGCTCTTCTAATCGACATTTGTTTTGTTGTTCTAACATCACTTCTTTAGGTGGTTTAATATAAAAAACTGTGAAGATATTATCAATTGGTTCAATTTTTGCCCTTTCATCTTCAAAATATTTTAAAATTTCTACATCTTTGATATTTGCTTCGGTGAAAACTTCTGTGTCCAAATATGTCCTATTGAGAATTATGTAACCATAATCCGTTAATTCTTTTAATGCTTTTGATTGATTTTTATAAAAATCAAGAATCTTGCTTTGAAAAAATAATGCCCGATTCTTGACATCCTTATAAAAAAGTTTAAGTTCTGGTAAAAGATAGAGTGATGCCTCCTCAAATTTTTTAACCGAAAAATTTTGCTGTTCTAATTGATCAGATAAAATATTTGCCATCGTAGTTTTTCCAACACTCATCGTATCAGTAAAGATGAAAATTTTTGGTTGCTTTTTTTGTTTTTTTTGAATTTTGATCTCTTCTGAAAACTCTTCTAAATTTTTACGCTTTTTTAAATTAAAAGAAGTTTTTACTTTAAAAAGATTTGTTAATTCACGCTTTAAAATTGTTTTAGAAGATTCCTCATAAGTTTCTTCCCTATTAACAATACTATCAATAAGTTTTTTTAAATCAGCTAAATTTTTTTCCTTTGAATTTTCATCAATAATAATATTTTTGAGTTTTCTTAAATCAATCTCAAGATTTATTAGATGTTCATTGATTCGCTTATTCATTTTTTTTTAATTTTTTTAAATAAAATTATATAAATAAAAATCTAACAAGTACCAATTAGTACTTGTTAAATAATAAAAAAAAATAAAGAAAAAACTAATAGGGTGAATAAACTACACATTTTTCTGCTTTGAATCCCTTCAATTTACTAATCCCAATTACAAATTCATCAGCCTGTGGATTAGTATATTCCATCATTATTCTTCGTTTATTTCTTTTTTTATTATCTTTAAAAAAATTTAAAATCTCTTTCTCATTTATAATTTTAATCTCAGAACAACAACTATCAAACCAAATTTTAGCAGATTTCATTAAAGGATTCGATAATTTTTCACTGTTATAAACAATAATTCCTAAAATTTCTTCACCAAAACATTTGAAAGATGATTGAATCTTTTGTAATTCAGGAGAACCAATAGCTTTCTTAATATTTTTAACCTGAATTATGATGACTTGTTAATTAAATATTGCAACAATATCAACACCAAAATCTTCTTGTTTGCAGAAGATTATATTGGCGATTAATCCATTCTCATTCAATAATTTCACCAATTTGTTTTTAAATTCATGGCCTATAAGATGATTAGACTGAAAAAATATTAATATGGATTCTTATTCACCACAAATTTATTATATCACTGTTGATCAAAACCAACTCGGCACTACCCGTTAAGGATATGAAGCATCTTTCAAGAATTCGAACATATCCTCAATATGATTATCATATATTCAGAATATATCTAATTTCTTTAGTGGCAGTGTCACTTCGAATCTCTTGTTAAATGAGAAACTCACTTTTTTTTTTGGTTCCATATTGTAATCCTCAAATTCATATTCTTGAATCTAAAACAAATAATAAAAAATAAATGAAAAGAAAATTTAAAATATAATTAATTAATTTACTACCTTTTGCTCTTTCATTCTTCAACAAATAAATTGCACCAATAAAAAAGTCTGCTTGGTGCATAAACACTAAGCGGAAAATATATTTAATGTAAAAAAAAAAAATAAAAAATAATAAAAAAACTAATTTATATAAAAAATCTCATTGAAAATCATTATATGAATAATATCCATCCAAAAAATGACTTTCCTCAGCTTCACATTGTCTAATAAAAGAATTATGTAATTTAACAATTTTTGATTCATATTGGTTGTCAGTATTTTGGATACATTTTTTATAATTTCTTATATACCAATATATCGTATCAATATTATCTTGTATCATTGGAATAAATTCTTTTTTCTTATGCATCTGCTGCACTTGTTTTTTATCATAAAACTTCCATTCAGTATGTTTATCTTTTTCAAGATTTATTAAAGGTTGATCAAACAGATAAATGAATAATTCCAATGTAACTTCATAAAGTGCTTCATTAAAGTCACATAAAGTTGCAATAAATTCATCTTTGCTAGGGCAAGTATATTTCCAAATTTTTAATAATTTTGAGTCATCAATTTCGATTCATCCTTCCTCAAATATTTCTTGTTTAAGAGCTTCTAGATTATTTTCTCTAATTTTTTCTTTTTCTCCCAATGCATCATATTTTAAATGGAAACATTTGGTTGAGTTTATTCTTTGAGCTAAGTTTAGAAATATTTCTTTTGTTTCTGGATCTATCCGAAATATAATACATTGATTAATATATCGTTGTGGTAATCTATAATTAAACTTAACAGGAAAAGTGAAAATTATTAAAGTAATTAAAATAATACAAATTTGAAAATAAACAACTTCCATTTTAAAAGACCTTAATAACAATAATAAAGAAATTGTGCCAATAAAAAAATCTGCTTGGCGTATTAACACTAAGCAGAAATAATTTAATATAAAAAATAAAAAAAAATAAAAACAAGAAATTGAAAAAAAACCAATATTAAAAATCTATAATTCTGGGCTACTACTACTACTGCTTCTTGAATCAACTCCATTAACCTCCTGAACCTCATTATTTACTAAAGATTCAGTCTCTTGTTCCAAATTTGTTTGTGCTAATTTACTGTTAATGTTCTATTTATACTTCTAAATTTTTTATTAACTACTTTATTGATAGTTGGAAGAAATAATAAAATCGAATCTGTTATTTGATATTTACTAAGCTCTTTGAAATCAATTTAAATCTATTTATCATTTTTATCAGGTTCTGTTCTAACAGGAATTTGATCACCAATTAACAAATAATATATAGCACACCTAAACAAATATTCTTGTCCATCTGGAAAAACTCTAAACCCTTGATGCATAGTAATAAAAACTAAATCTTTGATTTTCAATTCAGTCTCTTCCATGGCTTCATGTTCTGCACATTCTTCAAAATTTTTATCAGGTTTATTTCTTCCAGTTGGTACTTGCCAATATCCAAAATAATCTTTTGTTGGATTATTTCTTTTACTGATCCAA